ACCAGTCGACAGCAGCGTTTCATACCATCCCGAAGGGCCTCTTTGACTTTGTCATTCCTCAGGGTGAAGATGAAAGGGTTCAGGAAAGGGGTTACCACAGAAATAAACAGGGAAACTATCTTGTTGTACTCAGCAGCCTGTGTTTGCTTAGGTTTCACATAGAGGAACAAGCAACTGCCATAGACAATCACAACAAAGATGAAGTGAGAGGCACACGTAGAGAAGGCTTTCCTCCGGCCTGAGGCTGTGGGGATCTTGAGGATGGTAGAGATGATGTAGGTGTAGGAGACTATTGTTGGGGTCAGTGAACCAATGATGATGACAACAGCCATTAAGAAGAGAACAAACTCTGTGAAAAGAGTGTCACCACAGGATAGTTTGAGCAGTTGCCCGCGTTCACAAAAAAAGTGGTCTAACAGATTTGACTTGCAGAAGGTAAACTGAAATGTGGCATAGACTGGCCATATTTCAGAGAAGAACCCAAACACCCATGACACAATGACCACCCAGATGCAGGTGTGGCTGTTCATAATGATGTTGTACCTCAAAGGGTTACAGACAGCCACATAACGATCCACAGCCATTGCTCCCAGTAATGCGAACTCTGTGGTCCCCACAGCAAGGTACAGGAAGAGCTGGGTGACACATGCAACCAGAGATATTGTCTGCATCCCAGGGAGCATCAATCCCCAAAGCATCACAGGCACGATAATAGTTGTAACCAATATCTCCAAGGCAGAGAGATGACCAAGGAAGAAATACATAGGGGACCGCAGACGTTTATCCACACAGACAATCACGATGATGACTGTGTTTCCCATTAACGTTGCTGAGTAGAAGAAAAAGAATATGGCAAAAAGAATGTGGTGTAGTTCTTGGGACCCAGGAAAGCCTAGAAGGCAGAATTCAGTGGCACTAGAGAGATTGTTCATCATTTACTCCTTTTTTCTGCTCCTTGTAAAATCTAGACATCAAAGACTGGTAACATGGCGCCACATAGTCCTGTTCTCCAAAGAGAAGGAAGACAGGTTAGGATGAGAAAATATTTTCAACCTGAGAACCTGGTGACATGCCCCGACTGCAATGCTCTGCACAAGGTCAGACAAATGTAATCACCTTCAATCTAGCACAAGTCTGCCTGTCTGGAATAGGGGAAGACTCCTGAATCGCTACTGAGGATAAGAAAACATTCTCTGTCTTTTTACACCACAGGATAGGTCTTCTCTCCAGGGACAGAGGATAAGAGTGTTTAAACTGACCACTTATGAAGCTGTGTTGATCAGCCACACCAGTCCGGGGACCGTGTCATTCTTCTTATGTTAACTGTAGCAGATGACATAAGAGTGTTCTAGGTGATGGTCAGATCATGGAACATTGAACCCTACACGTCATCCTTACTGGTATTGTCTAGACCCAACTTGGGGTAGTAGAAAAGCAGCAGCGGACTAAGAACAACACCCCTGCTCTCCCCAGAGTGTAAACTTCCATGGTACAGAGCAGACACATCTACAAATGAGAGCTCTGGAGCTCTCTGGAGATAATTTCCCAGGGCAGAATCATTCTTCCTAAACCCATGTGCTTTGCAAAATGTTGGGAGACAGGAAAGGTGGCACCTGTCCCTAACAAGGATAGATCTGAGGCCAGTAGCCCCTGTGGATGTCTGGATCTCGACCTCTCACTTTATTCATCCCCTTACTCAAATGTCATCTCCTCAGACGATTCTATCCAGTAACCCTACACCAATTAGGAATAACTTGTTCATTTTTTGGACTTTACCATTCTTTGTAGCACTTTTTATTACCTGATATGATATGTATACTAATTTCATTCCTTCGTTGAACATTAAGCAAATTCAGCAGTGGATAGAACAAACAAAAATTCCTGCCCTGTGGAGCTTACATTCAAGGGGAGGGTGGATGCCAGATTATATACAAGACAAGTAAGTACAATTGTGATGCTAGTCTATTCATCATGCTGGAACAAATATAAGGCAAGGAAGAAGGACAGGAAA